AGGAGGAGGAGAAGGATTGAGGAGTGATCAGGCAGACACCGGTGGGTGGCACTAGGGTGGTGGGTGTGGTGGGTGCTGGAAGTGTTGAAAGGAGGCACTGCATTAATACACAGCATGAAACACTGACACAGACGCAGCAGCAGCAGCAGACACACCCGAAGTAGAGTCCCAGACAGTGTAGACTGAGAGACCTCGTCCCAATGCCCTCATCGATGACACTACTCTCCTCGTCTTGCCTAATCTTCCAATTCCCATCCTCACTCAGCTCAAAACCCTCGCCTCAGCAGAAAAAAACTTGATTATTTCCTCTTTTTTCTACCCTTTACATTCTTGCAATCTTTACTCTCTTTCTCAATCACTTTTTCTTCCTTCCTTTCTGTCTGTTGATGAAACATGTGATATCGCACCAGCAAACAGCAGCCAAACACTCAACAGACTCGTTCCTTTTTCTCTACTTTTACCCCTAATCTATCTACTTAATCATCGCATACTTAATTAACTTGCCACATAAAATGGCGTCCAATAGCTGTGAGCTAAGGCTTAGCCAGACACATTCAAACACACACAAACACAATTTCTCCAAACTTACTAGTCATCAGTACACCTAACTCCATGTCCCATGCACTAGTCACACAAATCGTTTGCATGCCTCACAAGAGCACTACTAACCAATCTACCACTTTGCCACTACCACCACCACAGTTGCCCGATGACCCTGATGACAATAAAGAAAGAAAGTGACCACAAAATACCTTTGCCACTTGCGTGTGTCTCCTCTCTCTGCACTTCAGTCGATGCTCTTTCTCCTCGACTTGAACTCCACTTTGTTTGCTGCTGCTGTTGCTGCGACTGCTGCTCTTTCAGTCATTCACTGCACCTGCTGTTGTCTCCCCCGATCGACGGCGCCAGACAGTTCACCAGAAATAGTTTGAGGTCGTAACCAGTAACACAGTTCCACACTCCAGTTACATTTAGACCCCACGTCAAAATTAGACTGACCAAAGTTTTCTTTGCTAACCGCCTTTTTCTCTTTCGCAGGCAGCGGAGGAGGTATTCAGAACGCCAAATCTGCACACGTCGAGTGGCGCCCACCGCACACTAGCTTCAAGTTTCTCAACGACGATATAGACATGCTTTGATGAGGGTGATCAGGTGAGTGTCACCATTGCCGCCTCCATTATCGTCACCGCCACCACCAACAAAACCACCTCCTTCCCTCCCACATCTTCTGGCTCATAACCTTTCCTGTGCAATACGTAAACAACTTTCTGGTCAAACAAACAAATTCGCCAAACATTTGCTGCTCCCGTGTGATCCGTGTTATCCTTTTCTTCTTTTCTCTTTCTTTCTCATTATTCCATTTTTTTGCAGTTTTTACTATGATACGATCTTTCTATCTTTCACACCTTTCCTTTATAACCTCCGAACTAATCTACACACCACACAATCTCTCTTTCCAATGGCATAATCTCCTCTTTAAGCAATAACACAAACACATAAACACACTTTTTGACACCATACACGCGCATAATCGTTTTCCTTCTCCTGTTGCATTGCTATACACTGTTTTCTTCTCTCTCTTTTTCGTTTGCATTGACCACCTCATTCCAATTATCATGCTGTTTTATATAAAATGATAAAATAAAATTTATAATATAGAATACAAAAAAGTGTATCTGTGGAGAAGTACAAAAAAAGCGAAATGCCACAATCAGTCTATCTTGGTGTTATCTTCGTTGTTCACACACAAACGGAATACATTACAAAGACAATTTGACAACAGTGCAAAGGAAATATATGCAAAAATGAAGTCTAAAGCTGTGTAAGGCAAAGGTGTGAGGTAAGACATTTACATTTGAGTGGAAAGTGAAAGCATTCACTTTTATTGCTCGGCAGGCAACCACGACTGCACTGGCTGTAACTACTGGCGAGCATCCTTTATTCGCTTGATGTAGGTCTGACTTTTATTGCGTCGATAGGACTCAAAGGGGTCACTGGCTCCTAAACTGGTTCCGATGCCCTTGTACTGGTCCACTCGGTCGCGAACTTCGCCAGCTGAGACGGGGTCTAACAAAAGATAAAGTGAGCACACCGTCAGACAAAGTGATATTAACGAAAAAGACATTGAACATTACCTTGAATGCCACTTTCTTTAGTGCCAAGCCCACCTGCGCCCGACCAGCCCATCTTCTTCAGCATTTGATGGCCCTTATTTGACTCGCTAAGCGGAACTTGAGGAGGGGCCACATTTGGAGGTGGAAAATTCATTCTAAGTGGGTAAAAACAGATTAGTCTGCGTTCATCTGCAACTTCCAGAACAATTTTCCCTACCTGAATGGCTGAAATGCGGGTGGTGATATCGAGCGACTCTTGTCTCGAAGTGACTTGACTCCAGCTGGTGGTGATCGACTCTTAACATGCTTTCCACGACGAGAATGATGAGGACTTCTTGAACGAGAACGAGATCGAGAGCGTGACCTAGATCTAGAGCGCTTTGATTTATGAGACCGATAGACCTTTGGACTTGGAGAACGGCTTTGAGTGCGACTCCTCCTCGACTTTTTAGCTGATGATTTGCTCTCGTCTTTGTCTTCTTTAAACTCCTTATACCGTCGTTTAGGAGGCGACGGAGTGCGCTCCTTGCGTTCCTCCTCTTCCTTTTTAGTAGGCTTGCTGTTCTGACCTTCAGCCAGACCATTTGAAGCAGCTGCCCTTCCATCATCAACCGCCTCTTGACTTGATGGACCTTCTCTCTCTTCAAACTCCTGTCGGGCCTTTGATTTAGTTCGGAAGAACTCATAGAGACCCAGCTTTTCCCAGCCTTCCGCATTGCGAGGATGCTCATGTGAAGGGGGACCGTAGAAAGCTTCAATTGCCTTTGTCAGTCTTTCAGTTGGTGGCGTGACCGGCGGTATTCGAACTACATTCGGGTCAATGGGCTTGTAGTCAAAGTCCTCCAGTTTGATGTACATCGTCATGATGCCTGCTGGCATGTCAAAGTAAGGTGGTCGAATCTCCTCAACGAGTGGATCATTTGGTGCCATTTGAGGATGAGGGAAGGGCACATGAGGTTGCGGTGTTCCAGGAGGACACTGCTGCGATGGCATCGGTGGCTGGGGATGCACTGAGGACGGAGGAAAACCAGGAGCGGCATTTGAAATTGGGAAAAAATCCGGAGGTGGAAAAGAACCATGGGCCATCGAAGGAGGAGGAGGATGGGGAAAGTTGTTCATTCCATGATTTGAGGCCATCGGGGGTCCTCCTGACATTGGCCCAACTTGAGGCTGCTGTGGCAATCCAGACCCATATACTAAAAGAAAAATGGCGTCAGTTGTCTAGCTGCTGACTTGAAACTTCCATTTACCGTTTGAATTTTGAGGCGGTCCATTCGTTCCAGATAAAGGCTGCTAAGGAGAGAGATTTCAATATGCAAATCGTAAAAACACTGTTCACCTTCTTACCGTCAGCTGTTGCTCCAGCTTCTGAATGATGCCCTCTTTATGTTTCTTATATTCCGCATGCTGCTTGCTCAACTGGCTGTACTTGATAGTTTGCTCATTTGTGATCTGCTGAATTTGGTCATCAAATCGAGTATAGAGAGAGTTCTGCAGCAAAAACACAAGGTGGTAGAAAAGGGAACAACAACGATCATATTAGCATGAAATATTAAAAGGGCTAAGTTACAAATAAAACTCGCGCAATTTAACAAAGCGTAATTACGCTCGGTAAAAAGGAGTTAAGGTTAATTGGCAATTAAACAAAAAGTGGCACAACTTGCGAAAGGAAAGGAAGGCAAACAAATGAAGAATGATGTACTTACCTTATAGGCATCTAATGATGAGCGTGGTACTTTCAATTGCTATCCGTCAACATTAAGATGGTCAGGCGTCAAGAAAGGAGATGGAAGAATGCACACAGATATCATTTGCAAATCAGAGACAACAAATTTGTGTTTGCGCAAACAAGAGTTGAAGAGTAAAAGAAAGAGTTTAGCGAAGAGGGGAGAAGAAAACGAATTAATTCAATTTGTCGGCAACAGAAAAAGAAGGCGATAGTAGTGTTTGTTTAGAGAAAGATAGCTACTATCATCATTAGATGCCTATGAATCATCTCTCTAGTTCTTGTTGAAAGCAAACCAAGCCACCAAAAGAGCACAGAGCGAACACAGGGCACCAATCGGCGGAAGTTTTCATCACGAGGGAACCAGCAGCAGTGGACAAAGGTTGTCTTCCAATGTGTGATAGCTACTTTAAAAGGAAAAAAAGTACGAAGAAAGATGTTCTTACATCCAAAACTGGGGTTTCAAGGTACTGATTCATTTCCCACAACTTGAGAAGCTAGTGAAGGTGAAAGCAGATTTAAAGATTAATAATACAATTTCAGATGGGCAAGGGTAGTTTTAAAAAGTAGTAATACTGCAGAGAGAGCTTTAATGCTCAGTAAGCTAAAATCTAAATGCAAAACGACTGTGAATGCAATGCAAAATTACTTTGTTCATCTTTTGTTTTCGGTCTTCATCGGCCTCAATTACAGTAGTGCAGAATGCAGGAACGATGATCTGGTTGATTGCTTCGCGCAGATGCTCTGAGCCTTTTCTCATGCTGTTGATAAGACAAATAAAAATGTATTTGAAAGAGAACTCAAGAAGATCAGTGGCACTTACCAGTGGTTATACAGATCATTGATGAGATACATCAAGTGAAGCTTTGCATCAAATGTGCACGGTATTCGAGTGATTCTGAAAAGGAAAAAGTTAAATCACACACTGTAAGCACAGATAATATTTTACCTTTTGAGTAAATGCTTTGCTACAGCATCGTAGTGCTCTTGAGTAGTGCAGTTATTGAATATCCAACTTTTTCCATTCTAGAAATACAGAAAAAATAGCTGTAGTTAAATAATCAGATGAAATGGGTTATCTTACGGCGATAGATTCTTTTCGACACGTTTCAATAATAGGTGTAAGCGTCCTGTCAAATTCATTCAAGTTGATGCTATAATCTTCACACATTCTCTTCACCTCGTCATCAAGTGCTTTGTTGATCATTTCATCAATTTTAACCGGCAAAGAATCTTCCATAAGAACTTTGTGTTGAGCTGCCAAGTTCTGTTCAGAGCTGATTATCTCTTCACGTGCTTTGGCAATATCAGCCAGAATGGCTCTATCTTTCTCTGGATCACCGTTACTGGTTATGGAATCCCTTGGTGGAGTAGCAACTCGCATTGGAGGAGGCAGTGGATGGTATTGATGTTGCGGGGGTGGTGGCTGGTGTTGTGGCTGAAGGTGAGGTGGCGATTCCTGATATCCCCAATTGTTATTGAATGGAGGTGGTGGCGGTGGTGGTGCATGCTGGGAAGGATGGGGCATATTTGAATGCATTGGCGGTGTTTGTGATTGAAACATCTGTGGGGGCATTAAATGAGACGGAGGACCCATTGTGGACGGAGGGAAATTAGGTGGTGGTGGTTGCTGATGCGGATGCATTTGATGTTGGTGATGATGAGGCGGCGGCGGCGGTGCAAAATGTGGGGGTGGCTCGTTGAACTGAGGTCCACCCATATGATTAGGCGGCGGACCAAATGGACCGAATGGCGGGGGAGGACCGTAAGCATGATGGGGCGGTGGCGATGGCCCGCCGTGACCTGGAGGATAGAATCCCTGCGGTCCCATTTGAGGCGGCGGGGGCATTCTCGGCCCGTAAGGTGCCTCCATTTGATTCATCAAATCACGCTCCACCCGTACCCGATGCATGTAGTACTGGAAGTATTCCCCTCCGAATAGAAAACTAAACTTGGGGTTGTCAGCTTGTTTGCTTTTAGTTTTCTCCTCAAAACTAGGTCCAAAACGAGCGACAAAATTGGCTGATTTGTCAATGATGTTACGTAACTCTGGATCTGCACAAAATAAATNTTTTAGTTTTCTCCTCAAAACTAGGTCCAAAACGAGCGACAAAATTGGCTGATTTGTCAATGATGTTACGTAACTCTGGATCTGCACAAAATAAATGTTTTTAAGCATTGAGAAAAGTTATGTCGTTTTAAAGATGGAAAAGTCTTAAACGGATATAAGAAACAACATAATTTTCACTGTGTGTATACGCTTACCATCAGGCGGCCGGAAAAATCCTGGCGGTTCCATTCGTGGTAGCGAGTTTAGCTCGAAGGAAGCTGAGCCCTGTTCTGATACAAAAAATTCACAAAAGTTGATTCTGACGCCTCAGCACGCCCGTTTTGCTGTTCATAGTGAAGTCACCACGTGAGAAGTTTTTGGTGAGCCCTTCTAATCAGAAGCATTCACCTCACATTTGTTTTGATCCACCGAGAAATGGTGATGAGTTCTTCCGAAGGGAACACTGGCAGTGTTACACTGCTCTGCGTGAATATAGTTACACCGACAGAGAGCACTACTATCGTCTGTTTCGCATGTTTTTCTCCAAACAACAAATCTGGACACCTGCATCTCCAAACGGCACATTTACCATCACCACCATCGCCAGCACCACCAACACCAACAACAACAACGCACGTGCAATCTGAAAAAGGTAATTGACCTGAAAAGAATCTCAGCATCTTCTCGAAGAATCTCCCCACCTTCTTCCCTTCTTCTGCACTCGAAGTGCAAGTGTTTCAGTAGAAGAATAGCGAAATACTACTCTCACGGGTGAGTTTATGTGCTGTGTTTATGTGCGGTGGAAACAATCTACGATAAGGGAGTATCAACGGCGGCTTTGGCAGTAGCTACTAGAGATGATTATGGTGATGATGGTGCTCTACAAGGCTCACACATCCCCGTCGTCTACTAGCACTTCTGCCGCCAGCTGCAACATATGTTTCAGACGTGAACAACAGGAGCCGTTATCAGTGTGTCGACGTAGGTGCTCTCGGCGTAGCACGCTGCACGTTCAGTATCGTCATTGAACCAACAATTTCTCTGCATTTTCTTCCTTACAGATCTGTCGTCTGCGTCTGCGATGTGCTGGTTGTGAATCGTAGTAAACAGCAGTAACACCACCATCACCAACACCAACTCTGTCCATCTCTGGTCGTCTTCTACAACCGTTCAATCACCACCACAATGCCAGTTCCATCCAGAAGATGATAGTGAAGATTTTAATATATTAGTGTGATTGAAACTTTTGCCGCATCTGCAGGACAAAGACCAAATTGCAGCGATGAGAGTCTACTGCTGACGAGTTCATCACTGGGCTCTGTCCCCAGTGCTTCATTGACCCGTCCTTTCCCACCACTTTCATTGATCACAGCGGACTACTATGGTGGTACCGCCTCATCACGCACTATTATCATCAGCAGCATCTTAATTAGTTTATCCTTCTCCTACCAGTACTGGTTTCCCCGCACAGTACACTCGCTCGCCAAGTTGGACACTTACTTAAGTCCTTTTATCCAGCAACAATAATCACAACTCGATCCTTACTGCGGCCCACTCGCTCCTTTTCTACTTATCAAACTCAAATCAAGTGACGCTGTGCAGTAGCACGATCAATTTAAATAATTATCACCTATCAATAGAAGCAAGTAACCCACAGGCAAGCAGTCAACATGATTGGAAATACGCCGAGCTTTATCATCGAAAGTCCCATCAATGCGATGGCTGTCAGTCGAGGCGAGGGCATGCATCTCGCCGTCGCTGGTCGCAGTTTGCTCAAAGTGTACAGCCTGGCGCCTGACAACTTTGGCGGTGAGCTGTTCAATCTGCGCAGCTCCAACCTAAAGAACCTCAACTTCAGCAACAACGACGTCACCTGGTCCCCACTGGTGGACGGAGTGCTCGCCACCGGCGCCACCAACGGCGGCGTCGTCGTCTGGAACCTGAACAACGCCGCCAAGTCAAAGATTGAGCACGTTTTCAACGCCCACCAGCGGACGGTGAACAGGGTGTGCTTTCACAGCGCCGACCCGAATTGCCTCCTCAGCGGCTCCCAGGATGGCCTGATGAAGCTCTTTGATCTGCGTCAGCGAGAGGCCGTCGCTTGTGCCACCTTTGTCTCCAACTCTGAGAGCGTTCGTGACGTCCAGTTCTCTCCGGCGGCCTTCTCGCACACTCACTTTGCCTCCGTCCAGGAGACGGGCAATGTGGAGCTGTGGGACATTCGCCGCTCTGACCGCCCGGAGACCAACTTTATCGCCCACGACGGCCCGGTCTTCGCCTGCGAGTGGCACCCCAACCAGGAGGGGCACCGGTGGCTGGCCACCGGCGGTCGCGACAAAACCATCAAAGTGTGGGACATGACGAACTCGAACAAGCCCAAAGTGCTCTACAACCTGCACACCATTGCGCCCGTCAGCAAGCTGAAGTGGCGCCCGGGAAAGGACCTTCACATTGGCAGCTGCTCACTGGTGATGGACTTTAGCGTGTACGTGTGGGACATTATGCGCCCCTATGTGCCCTATGCGACCTTTGCCACGCGAAAGGACGTCTCCACTGGGTTCGCCTGGAGGGGCGAGGCTGAGACTCAGGAGTTTATCTCCACCTGCAAGGACGGCAGCGTCTACGTGCACAACTTTGAGAATGATGCCTACTACCCGGGCGAGCACTACCCACCCATTGGCGTGGACTTTAATCCGGCGGGCGATGTCGTCTTCTCCATGACGGACTTTATTCACAAGTATGCACAGTACCTGTACTCGCCCAACTCTGCGCCCATCAACGGTGGCGGTGGTGGTAGCTTGCTCGGCACTGTCCTCAACAACAACAGTAGCAGTAGCAGCAGCAGTAATAACACCAGCAATGAGCTTCAAGCGCCAATGACCAGTCGCCTGGTGAAGACGCCTTCTCTGGGCGCCAATGCCATCATCACGCCAAATGGCTTCATCTCCGAACGGAGTAGCAGCGGAGGAGGAGTCGGCGGCGGCACCGGTGGTCAGAATCTGTCCAATCCCGTTCAGCAGTACACACTGTCCTCCTCACTAAACCAAAGCAACTGGGACATACCCGTCAGTACGTCGGTGGAGGCAATCAAGTCCAATCGCAATATAATGTCTTACCTGCCCAGTCAGTTTCAGTACCACCAGCCACAGCAGTCGCAGCAGCAGCAGCTGGCACTGGCAAACTTTCCCCTGTTGGGTGGCAGCAGCAGCGGCAGTTACCCGCCGACGGTGTACAACATTAGCGTGCCCCTCTCCTACCGGCGCTCTCCCGAGGACATACTGGCGGAGCACTTTCGCTGCATGATCAGCTACATGATGTTCTTCCTTAGTCGGGACGCCACCGAGGGCACCGCTCCCGGGCTGCAGCACAACTACGACACCATGAGGCACTTTGTGAAGCTGGCGAAGAAGTACAAGCTCTCCGATGAGCCGTTTGAGGTGCTGTGCGAGGACAACGCCGCCGCCGCTGATCATCTGGGCCTCTTTCAGGTGGCGAACACCTGGCGACTGGTTCGCTACATGTTCAGCATCATTATACGACACCCTACTTCCAGTGGAGGCGGCGCAGGAGGAGGAGGAGGCGGCGGAGGAGGAGGTGTTGTTCATGTCATCCCGGGAAACAACAATCCCAGCGGGGGCAGTGCCGCCACCAACAACATGGCCAGTGCGGTGGACATGAAGAGGGAGGAGAACTCGAGTAGACACACCAGTGGGGGCGCCGGGGCGCAACGGCACTACAGCGGCAATGCGCAGAACATTCCCTCCGGTGCTGCTGGTGGTGGTGCAATGGGGCCCAACATTGCAAGCAGCGCACAGGCCATCGGCAGGGCAAAGGACGACTACATTCGCCCACTGGAGTACGAGGATGATGAGCTTCACAGCGACATTGACTCCTTCTACCGCGGCTCCGCTGACCACCGCCTGAAGGAGCACCTGGTGGGGGGAGGCTCCATTCCGAAGAGTCGATTTGCCACCGACTACTTTGACGTGCCGCCCATGGCTAGTGATGGCGTCGACTACTACGATGGGGCGACACAGGCCACCCAAAGGGGCGACGGCAGCGGCAACCTGCTGTACGACCCTTCGCAGGACTACGAGCTGAAGCACGAGTCCATTCTCCACCGGCACCAGCTCTTCTACTCGGACGAATATGGCAATCTCACCAATCCAGGCGGCGATTTCACCACTGGCGGCGGCGGAGGAGGCGCCGGTGGTGGTGGTGGTGGCCACCCAAACTACGACATCAACTCGCCGGTCAGCTTTGACGAGGACGATGACGCGGCGGCGGCGAATGAGGGCGGCAGCTCCTTTGGCCTCTTTGACGTGAACCTGCAGTCGCTGCTGGGGGCGAAAAACCCAGCGACCCCCGCCTGGATTTTCACCGACATTGTGGCGAACATGCTGCGTCACTACGTGGAAATTGGCGACGTCCAGACGGCGATCTCAATCATCCAAGTGCTGGGCTCAGAACGACTGAAGCAGCTGACCTCCATCGACAGGATGACGGTGAACGTCTGGTACCGCGCCTACATTGACCTCCTCAATCGCTTCCAGCTGTGGGGCGTCTCCTGTCGGCTGATTAAGCTCTCTACGGAGACAGACATTCAGGCGATCAACCAGACGGGGACGACCGTCCTCGTGTACTGTGCCAAATGCATGAAGCAGATCAGACCGGGCTCCACCTGCGAGAAGTGCAGCCTCGAGCCGACGAACTGTGCCATCTGTCACGTGTCCGTCCGCGGCATGTTCACCTGGTGCCAGGGCTGCGCCCACGGGGGCCACCTGCAGCACATGCGCCAGTGGTTCAAAGATAACGCCCAGTGTCCCGCCGGCTGTGGACACCACTGTGAACTCTGTTGATATATCATCATCCCCAACATCCCCCATCCTCCTCCTCATCATCAGCCACCTTTTTTGTTGCTTCTTTTCCTTGTACACCAAAATTACCTACACCGTATTACTACTATATGTCTTTATTTATATCCTTTTCCTAAATGCCTCTTTTTGTCAATGACGCCTCTTTTTTATTTTGATTACTTTTTGCTTATTCACTGTGAATTAAATTGTTTTTTAAATTTTTCTGGCTAATCAGAAATTGATTCAGGCTGAAAGTCAGATCCCGAGGTGAAGCGACGCTCCTTCATTCTGTTTTTTGAGATTAAGATTTGTTAGTGGATTTTGGAGGAAATCTAAATTAAACACTGTCTTACCGTCTATTTTGGAACCAAACTTTGACCTGCCGCTCGGTGAGGCTGAGCTGGACGGCAATTTCATAGCGCCGCAGTCTGGTCAGGTAGTTCTGTGCATTGAAATGCTCCTCGAGACCTTCCAGTTGCACCTTGCTGAAGGAGGTTCGCTCCTTTCGAGTGCTCGATGATGTTGACTGCTGTTGCTGCAGAATGGTAGTGCTGTTGTCAGAATTGGTCAGCTGGTCGCAACTGCTGTTTTGCGCTGTTTGATCGTACTGACATTCGGATGAAACTTGATTCTGCTGCTGCTCAATGCAACTGTCACTCAGCTGCTGGTGCTCCTCAGCAAAAAACGCGGTGATTGGAAAATCAGCGTAGATGTTCATCTGTTCAGGGGTTAAAGGAGAGGTGTGATTCGGCTGAAAAGAGGCAACTACTGAGGAAAGGTGCTCATCCAGCTCTGTCCAGAGGCTGGCATCGTTGAAAAAATCGTCAGAAACGACGATAGTATTGTTAGCTGATGAAAACACTTCCAGAGTAGGTTCAAGACTAGTTATTTGATGATGCTGAGAAAAATGAAGACCATGTTCAGTTTGCTGGTGCTGACTACTTTCCGGTGAGGCCATAACTACTATCTGACTGCAACAAGTTTCTCAGCCGGCTCAGCCGGGCCACTATTTATATGGAGCAAAAATGTAAATGAGGAAAGATNTAGTTATTTGATGATGCTGAGAAAAATGAAGACCATGTTCAGTTTGCTGGAGCTGACCACTTTCCGGTGAGGCCATAACTACTATCTGACTGCAACAAGTCACTAGCAGTTCAGCCGGGCCACTATTTATATGGAGCAAAAATGTAAATGAGGAAAAATGAAGACACGCGTTTTGCTCGCGCGCGCGATTTTTGTCTATCTGTCAAACTTTTGATTGCCTCTGCTGCTTTTGAAGTGGGCGCTGCTGCTACTGCTGCTAATGACCGATGCGGTTTTATTTGCGGCTAAATATAGTANGCGCTGCTGCTACTGCTGCTAATGACCGATGCGGCTTTATCTGCGGCTAAATATAGTAGCACTGAAGCAATTAGTGCTCACTAATTGATTTGTAGTCGAAGGGAGGGATCGAACGGAGAAGGAGTGTTAGCAGAAGATTAGCACTGGCAGCCATTCATTTTGGTGGCGACGGCCAGCAGCAGCATCATCAGCGGCACTTCTCGTCATCATCTCAGTGCAACGTAGTGTTCCTTCCTCTCTTTCTTTCTTTTTCATTCACAAGAAATGTGTGCCTCTGCTCTGGGCCTTTACGTTTACTCTGGCTTTTGTTTGTGCATCGCCGTCAGCAGCTCCAGCAGCAGAACCACCACTTGACAGTGATGACCATGTGCGCGCCATCGACTGCTGCTGCTGGTAAAGTGACAAATTGGCCAATAACGACAGAGGAAAGTAACCGCCAAGAGAAGTGGCGGAAGATGCCGAGGAAGCCAGCTAGCCAGTCAAATGCGCTTCAAGTGCCATCAATCATAGTGCATGGTCTCGGACAAATGTGTGGAAAAGGAGAAGGAAAGGAAGCAAGGAAATCACAACACCACTGAATTGGCTCTCAGACACTGTCTTTTTTCTGACTAGACTGCTTGTCGCCGTTTTTGTCGTCCTCGTCTTCGACAACCCTTCAAACCTTTTAACTTTTTTGCAGCTCTCTGGCATCTCGTTTAGTCACGCACTTAAATGACCAA